ATTTCGAAGACAGGAATAACAGCTAGCGCGACACCATTCAGTGAATGAATCAGTCTAGTACGATATTAGCGATTTTATGAACAGCCATCACTGAAATTCACTCTTCCTGAAGTCATAAAATTTATGTCACAGTTTATTGATTACGGAAAACCGATATGGCTATGATGTGAACAGAAAATCAAGAAGCCTTGACAAAATACGGAATCCATTTTTGGGAACGTTATTTCATCTCATCCAAAGCTTGTAAAGCATTGGCATTTATTTTTGTCCCTAATCTATTCTACAAAACATAAGCTTTCGCTTGATGTATGATTCACTGCTATAGGCATTTTTGTTCCAAAGCTATTGTAATTGAAACGTGATTATTTTTTACTGTATTTTCTACGTTATTCTCCAGTATTGGACATAATTGTACTTTCCTAATTATTGTACGTTGTGATCGGGTTAGTCATCTATTTATTCATGTACCTTTTAATCGTTGAATTCATTAGCTGATTGTATTTTGAAAATAGAACTACATATTCAAGTTCATACTGGTAGATTACACAATGTTTCCAAATTTTGAACTTTAGCTTAAATTTTTTGGCTGACTATTAAGAATGTCAAAAAATTAACACATAGAACTTTCTATCCAAATTTTATTGATCAAAGTTACCATAAATGTTGAAGACAACAGTAAAATATATGGGAAATAAAACGGGAAAATAATTAGATCTAATATATTCCATTGATTAGTATGAACAAGAATGTCCTCAAATGCCCTGGTACGGCTGAATGTGGGAAGAGTCAGCTCTCTATCTCCAAATGCTCTCACATGGCCATGTGCATATAATCATTGACAGGGAAGTCCTACTCACCGTATTCTTGTGGTGTTGTTTGTGAAATTAAGAGGATGAAAAGCGAATGTCTAGAGCTTTAGGCGGGTTGGTGGACACGGAGATTCCACCTAGGGAAGTTGGAAAACCCTAATTCCAAACCAATGGTGCACATGGACTACAGGATTCTGAAAGAACAAATGGCGTATGAACCTATTGTCGGTCACCGGCCACCATGGAACTGCTTCTCCTAACGTCGCTCCACTGCCTTGTGGATTAGACCCTCTAGGTCAAAGGCTCGAGGTGTGGCCCTCTGAGAGAACCACCTGCTTCAGTTTGAGCGCCCTCACACAAATCGAATGATTTGTGTGGCGCATATCTGTTTGGTGCCTCCTTGAACCAATGCTAATGTGTTTAAATAAATTAGCATGTGTAAGTTGTTACTTAAAACTATTTTCTGATTATATTAATTCGATAAATGTAGTTCAGTTGATCACACTGTTCAGTTGTAAAGGTACTTACTTATTTACTGGATAAAGAATCAAATATCTCCTACCATAAAGCCATCCTCATAAGCTAAATGTTTGGATTAAACTAAAAACCTAAATGTTTATAGTTGTAGCTTTTTACCAAGCAAAGTTTATTAACCTTCCCGTTTATCGAACAAAGCATGAAGAAAATCGATTAGGTAAACCATCAGACTATAAGTTCCATAGATTATTTATAGGTTAATCTGATCATTATTGATTTTGCACATTTTTCTACATTAACTTTTCATGGTCAGTAGGTTAATTCGGCTAGGATACACGTGTATCACGTATGGCCATTTTAACCATACAAAGCAAGAAGAAAAACACGTTATAAAAGGCTGGCTGATTAATGGGACGTGCAGTAATCCATATAACTCACCAACTGACTCAATTGATTTATTCGTGATGATCTTTGTTCGATATAACTAATCTAATTATGACCGTCTACCAACTATTGTGATGAACGATTTGATCTATGATATTAGACATGAAAATAAGGAAGTTAAATGCAATAATGAATTGGCAAAATAATACTCTGCCATGCTGATGAATGCTATCTAATACGAAGCATAAGATCATGGTTCCCTACTACTATCTTCAACATTTGAAATCGGCAAAGAACACTGACTGATATTGGCATGCTGGGGCCAGGTTCATTTTAGAAAAAAATTGAACAGTATGAGAACCTAGAAAGTATCAAACTGTTCATTTTCTAGTAATCGATTTGTGTAGAGGTATTAGTTTTAAAATATACTAGCAATTAGGGGCTAGACTATAATTTATGGACGACCTATGAACGAATCTTGAGTGAACTTGAGATATATTAGCCAATCAGAAAACAGTCAGTGTACAGTAAAAATAATTACAGTGGATGCATTTCTTTTACACGGTTCAAAAACTTGTCAAGGTTAGAAAGAGGTTCAGAGGTTCTAACTTTGTAATGCATAGGTTAGAGGAAATCATCTATACGGCTACATAATAGTTGGCCTCCAGAGCCATGATAATGTTGCAAAATTTATTTCAGCCTCCACCACATAGCTTCAATATTGTTTGTGTGCACTCCGGTTGTGTAAGCTTATTTTTATTACGCATATATCTCTACAATACTCATACCACTCAACAGCCGAAGCTTCAGTAAAATCTGAAAATGTTGCAGACAATGTTACTGGTGCTTTTGTTATACGGATCGTAACAATTATTATAACCTGCTTTAGTCTCAATCTGGATCAAGGGGAAATTTTTTCTATTCTAGCAGAACTTCCTAATACTCGCATTTGCTGTACCCGCTCAATGATCACGTTTTCTGTAAAATCCGCTATGAACCGATCGTACGTGAGCATTAGGTATTGAGATCGGCGCCGTATACTTGAAATCCATCAAACGCTTCTGATTAGCTAGTCCATAAATTATATTCTCGCCACAAGAAGTCTTTGACGTTACTTAATACATTATCTTCAAAACTGATTCACTAATAAAAAACTTGTCAACCAAGTAGTATAAGATCTGGAATAATATTGAGTAAAGTAACTCAATTTTACAATGTTCGTTTCAGTTTGTAACATATTTATACAAGTCCGTTTACCTTCAATTACTGTTTTTCGGAATCATAATAACAAATTTAAATGGAGAGTTTTGTTCGAGTTCGGAAACAGTGTCACAAAGAAAAGAAATACCTAACATATTAGGATAGAATAAGGTCGACTAATGACAAATACTCTGTACATTTAAAATTAATGGCCAAGATATTTTAAAACCATGTACATATCTGTTAACGAAATTAAGACAGATTTATTGTGTGATAACTCAAGGAAACTAATTGCTTACTCTTCATATTATCAATCAATTAAAAAATCTCGTTGCTAAACAGTTTAGAGTTGATTGACCATATCACTTAGTCACAAATCCAACAAATGTATCAGAACTTAATGTTCAATAATAACAATAATTTTAATTTAAATACGATGATGAGTTCACACAACGAACACGCTAAGTTTAAAGTGATAGTGTGAAGTATGCTACATATGTTTGCAAATATAAGTAGTATGTAGCATAACCGCAATAGTACTCTGTAATAGCAAATAAGTAGGCCAATAAAACCACTCACCTCAGAGATGAAACAACAATAACTTCGCTCGGTGTAAAACAACTATACGTATATCATCGATTGATTCTGTAAATATATACAGGTTTTTCGTTGACATTATCAGATCATTTACTTGTTCAAAACTCAAACATTATCGACCTCGAATTGACTATATTAGAAAATACGATGTAATGGAAATTTCTCGGATGCAATATTAGATTATCGACTATCAAGCTTATTATACAATATTTCTGATGTCTCCTGTTAGAGATAAAGCGATCTCGATTATTCGGTGTGAAGTCCAAGTTAACACAAGTAATCAGTCCGATATACATGGATCGACCTACTTGTTTCAAATGAAGGAATTTAACACATCCCATGGTACTATGAAAGAGAATAGAGCGTTTCACAATTGAGTTCATTTTATGTTTGAAAATAATTTCCGTTTATAATTCAGTAGCAAGGCTTTGGATTTTCATGTTGTTGACGTTAAGGATTGCAACTTATCAATCTGTTTTGTTATGTGATACGTGTACGGTTCGCCTAGGTATTGCTATCAGTCCCAAGCATTTCTTATGTGAAGTTGGATGATAGGAGTAGTAGTGGAATCCACGTCGCGCGCTTCGTCCTTCCTGAGACTCGTCAGTTGAATGTAAACTACTATTCGGTTTTTAGTCATATCGAATCATAAACATGTTATTCGTGTTTCTAGTTTAAAAACTCATTACTTGACGGTTAATGTAAATTAATATTGCCCATATTATATAATCGACAATACGTTGAACGAAACAAACTCCACCTATTACTTAGTGTCTATAAAAGGCATAAACAGCCATGTAGTGTGAAACAAAATCATTGTAACAACAAACGCTGATTTTTTTCACATCCACACACATACATTGTCTCACCTTTAATTTGAATAACATGACATTAACATGATCCGAATTGTTTTAATTGTAATAATAAATATTTTCCCCTCTTCCTCTGTACTATATGAACTTAAGTGAACTTAACTAGGTTATTTATTTACTTGCTCACTAATGAAACGATTTTCATTAACACGTCAAAAATTCAATTTTATACTCAGTTGGACATAACAAATAGATTCAAATGACTCATGATCTCACAAAAACTCCTTCTGATATTAATCAACATATGCTCATTAGTGACTGACTTCAAGACGTATTTCCTGGAGTTCTAATGACAAGCAGGGACCAGTGGAGTACAACCGGGTTTGTTGTAAGATATTAACTCACTGAAGACAATGATGGATTGGTTGGAGTTAAACATTAAAACCATTGGATGCCAGTCGGCTCAGTGGTCTACAGGTTAAGTGTTCGCGCGAGAGACTGATAGGTCCTGGGTTCGAATGTCACAAGGTGGCGGGATCGTGGATGAAACGGCCGTCCAAGTTTTCCATGGTGATCTAGCCGCGATTGACTCATGATCTCAACTATTGAAATAGATTCTCATTATAAGCGATCCACCTAATACACAATTTATTTGAAATTATCAAATCAAACCCTGGTATCGATATTTACAAAACACACACACCCACAAATACACAATCCTGTGATATCAAAACAAATTTATTTGAAAGCGATGTCGAAGAATTCGACGAAGCTAATAGTTACATCAAAATACAATAGATTAACAGGAAACAAGAGAATCAAGAAGAAACCTCAAAGGAACAGACTGGAAGAAGAATCCGATCAAACAAAATCAAACAAGATCACAGTTTATGCATCGGTATTAAACACAGGTCATTTTTTGACGCTTTTTTTTACACGATACATGCATAATGATATACCACTCGATAGTTTCTTTATAAATTCTTATCCAAAACAAACATGGTTTTTATACACAAATGAAAACAAAATATGGAGAATGAATATTGAACAAAATTAATTAGATGTAGTATAACCTGTAAGAGAACAAGAAATCGATTGAACAATTAAAAGTTAATTTTATGTAGTATATAGTATAGTATATGCAAATGTATACAGGTTATGTGGACAATCATTTCACTTTGTTGTTTCTACTGAGCTTAGTTTATAAGTTAGGTCATTGTTTTCATATTTTTCCTCATATTCGATAGTGATCTTATTTAAATATGAATGAGAGCTGATGGTATAGTTACGAGATGAAACTATTATGTAATATGAGTAGCATATTGAAGTAATCACTTCTATAGCTTGCGTGAGTTTCATGCATACTACGATTAAAAAAAGTATATGTTCTCAATAGTAAGAATTTATTGAATGCTTAGTATAACCGTTGATTAATTTGATTCTGAACCAGTAATGTTCCAATTTATAACCTTGATTCAACTACTACCGTCTCAGTAGTTGGGTAGTATATCAATTATTCGAAATTTAATATCAGAAGGGGCTTTTGTGCATATTATAGTAATTTCAATAGTTGAGATTATGAGTCGATTGAACCTGGACCACCACGGAAAACCTATTGTGGAACTCCTCAGCAGTGCGCATCCATGATCCCACCGCCAGTGGAGTTCAACCGAGTCTGTTGTGAGATAGTAACTCACTGAAGAAAATGGTAGATCCGTCGATCAATTTCGTGGATTAGTTGAAATTAGACATTAACAACATTCGATGCCGGCAAGTTCAGTGGTTTAGAGGTTAAGCGCTCGCGCGCGAAACTAATAAGTCCTGGGTTTGAGTCTCGCGAGGCGAGATCGTGGATGCGTACTGCTGAGGAGCTCCATACTATGACGAATCGGCCGTCCAGTGCTTCCAGGTTTTCCATAGGTGTCTAGCTTCAATCGACTCATGATCTCAACTATTGATGTTCTAAATTTCGTAACATATAATTTTCATGATCTCAGTTTGTGCATTAATTAGACAAAGTAAAGATATTTAAACTTTCTTCATTAATGAGTGGAAAAAAACCAGGACACTTATATCTGACTAACTTTAAGGTAGTTAATGCTTAAGTGCATAATGATTGGTAGCTCAGTTTGTGTATTTATTGGAAAGAGCAATATATCTATTAATGGGATTCATTCTATACGTTTCACTATAAAGCTTTACATTGGAAACTTAATCAGTAAACTATGTTGCATTAAAAGATGTTAACTAGTCAAATGACAGTAACTGAATACAATAAATGATTTAGTCTCAATCAAGATTGTGATTTTAAAAATAATCACTTTTCAGTTCCCTAATAATCGATAGCCATTTAACTAGAGAATCGTCGAATTCGCGATACTTAATAAATGTAAATAATAAAACATACCAGGAAATATGTTAAGTGAAATGTTTGGATGAACCTTTACTAGGTGTATTGAGTCGGCCACGGTTATTCAGACGAGATTTCCCTGAAGCTCGATGGTGAATCCGACGACGTGTACGCGATAGATGTGGTAGATTTTCAGGAGGTAGTACACGATAAATTCTTACAAGCCAATGTTTCGATGTAAAAGCTTCCTCTAAGTAATCTAATTCAAAATTTTTACGACCAATTTCAGATCCTCTAGTACGATCAAATCCAAGTGGTGTTCGCATATCTAAACGAACTTCACCAAACCGATAATAGCTTAATTTATACATTAAACAATTAAGCATCGTCTCAGAAGCACTTTTATCTATACGATAATCACCCTAAAAAGAAAAAGAAAACAAAAAACCAACATAACCATTGAATTATGATCAAACAGGCAGGGTTAAAATTTAGAACTTTCTTAGTAAATATGAATCAATGGGTTTTACTGAAAGAGTCCTATGATACGGCAAAACAATAAAACGATCAATACAAGCCCGACGGAAATACATTCAACTTTTCCCAGAGGGTAGTATTGTCAAAGTTAGAATTACTGTGGTAACATCTTTCAGATAAGGTGACGTAATAAGTTATGAATAATTGCACTATCTCATCATTGAATTTATAACCAGTAAGTGGTTCAGAATATACTATATAAAAGTTTATAACACTGGCAACCGCCCTTCTGGAGTTACTGATATTCCCTAACCTGGGTAAAGAACGACTGTGGGTAGCGTTAGCAATTCCAGCTCATAAACAAGAACCTCGCTAAAAGAAACACCAGCCAGAGTGAAGCAATTAAACTTTTCCCTGAGAGACGAAGGGTCTGCATATGGAACAGTTATAACGGCTTATATTTGAAGCCAGAAGTCACCAGGCCGACGACCCTTCTAACTGTCAGAGCAACAATAAATGCAGAGAAACAGAATATCCCAACAGTGTGGAAGACCGAGAGGGTCATTCAAACAGTCACAAGCATGAGAAGACACAACTTCGAAGTAAAAGAAAGAGACCTGGGACAAAGAAAACATGACTTTAGGAAATGGAGGCAGATATTAGGACCATGAATAGCATTTGGCAACAACTAGAAAGGAGAGCTCAAGATAGAGTTGTTTGGAGATGACTGCTCGACGGATTACGCTACAAGAAGAGTAAGTAAAGTAGAATAAGTTTATACCTAATCAACTATTGTTGGGAGAGAAGCATAGATCCATGTTTCGACCATTTGCATAACTTGATGGAGAGACAAATAGACTTATTATCTGGTGCAGACTAATCAAGGTCCTCATGGATTTCCAAATGTTTAAAAAATGTTTTGGTATATCAAACCGATTTACTTACGTCAACCAGCCAATCAGTCAACCTGAAGTATTCACTTAAAGGGAGAATCACCAATATCACATATGGCTTCCACTTTACAACTAGCTTGTTATATGACGATTCTTCACAATATATAATAACGTAGAGTAGCGTATATTATGATTGTCTTTACTGTATATAAAAGCTGACAACTTACTGTTGAAGTTAGAAAGTCTCTTTCACGAATTTCATTAGGATGTTCACCGCCACCAATACGCACCATCCATAAGAATTTATTAATATCATCACCACTGTAACCAATGTAACCACCGAATATGACCAGCACGTAATCCACATCTAAACTTTGAATAGTCTAAAGGAAAACCACGTAACAGGGAAAGAAGTAAAAGAAAAACGGTATTAATCACACATAATAAAACCAGCACAGCATGTGAATTCATGACTAAAGATTTGATTAATATGGACAAAGTGCTTCTTGAAATTATGGACTCGTACAGTTTTTGAAGAACTATGGAAGTGAAAAACAACAATCGTCTTAGTCATAGACATTTAAATTATGATATATTTGGCAAAAACAGATCTTAAATATTTCTAGATCTTTAGATAACTAACTTATTATGCATCGGTCAAGAGCGTTTGTAAATTTTGAATAGGAAGTCTCTCTTAAACGATTAACTAATATGATGATAAGACTGTAATATCTATCGATGAATAATGAAAAAGATATTTCACCGAGAATTATTGATTGAAAATAGAAGATAAAAGACTACTGAATGTGACGTTTATCACAGTATTTATAATTTCTGGATTCGATAGAAGGAATTCGAAGTACAGCAGTGATATGAAATTTTACACTAGACGATAAGGTAGTTGACCTGTACTAAGTTCTTAATGGCCTATTAAAACGAGAGATAAAAACAACAACTGATTGATTGTCAACAACACAAATTTATTATTTACATTTAACAGTATATTTTTGCGTAATTCTTTCACCCAAAATGTGATCATGTTGAATACGTCCACCAAACAGAAAGAAAAAATTGAGTTTAATTACTGAACTTACTTTATAGGCTTCTGATTCATTTGATGCCATAGCTTTACCAACTAATGCGATATGACTATTATTCCATGTGTTATTATCAACTAGAGTAGTGCGGTTACCCATTCCTGCTATTTGATATCCATAATCCCACCATGACATAACTCGAGCATTTTCTTTTGTATTTTGCCATAACCAGAAATAAGCCTCACTAATAATATAAGAGAAAAAATTTATTATTGTTGACGATTAGAAAATATATATCTGTTGGATTGTTCGGTACTTGAACATCGAAGAGTGAATGGTAAGCTCTAAATATTGTTTACACAACCAAGCAGTATTAAGTATCATTAAGTGACTGTGAATACAACTTATACGTAACTAATTAGTTCCCTTTTTTTTACTGTACTATTTTGGTAGTTATAAAATGTAATCGATGAATTCATGAATAGAAAATTACCAAAAGTTTCAATCAAGTTTTAAAAATGTACCCGCCTATATGCCAAATTTTGATTAGCCTTAAAGTTAAGTATACCTTTTAGAACAATATAACACTTTGAAATTATGTTAAAATCACTAGTTGTAGAAAGGTGTTATTCATTTAGGGTGTTATTAAACAAACGATTCAAGCGTACTACAATGTTATAAGATTTATCATTAAATGTTGTTTCGTGAAGTTTTATTGTTGAACAATGGATTATTTAAAAAAGTTATATTTCATTGTGAAGCTGTAATGAAGACCTGTTATCAACAACATGATTTGAATGACTTTAATTTATGTCCTATAATTCAACGATAAAATTCGACCCCAAATGCCCTGGTATGGCCGAGTGTCGGAAGAGTCAGCTCTCCTTATCCAAATACTCTCAAGTGGCCACTTGCACATAACCACTAACAAGGAAGTCCTACTCACTGCATTCTTGTGGTGTGTGTGCAAAATTAAGAGGATGATCAGCGCTTTAACTAGGTTTGTGGACACGGAGATCCCACCTAGGAGAGTTGGAAAACCCTGATTCCAAACCAATGGTGCACATGGACTACAGGATTTTGAAAGAACAAATGGCGTATGAACCCATTGTCGATCACCAGCTACCATGGAACTGCATCTCCTAACGTCGCTCCACTGCCTTGTGGATTAGACCCTCTAGGTAAAAGGCTCGGGGTGTGACCTCCTGAGAAAACCACCTGCTTCAGTTTCGGGGCCCTCACACAAATCGAATGATTTATGTGGCGCATATCTATTTGGCCCAGGACAGAGTGGGTTGGAGAAAAAGCTGGTCAGCGGCCTATGCTCCATTGGGAGTAACAGGCGTAAGTAAGTAAGTAAGTAATATCTATTTGGTGCCTCCTTGAACCAATGTTTATGTGTTTAAATAATAATAACGATAAAATTGATACAAACGAATTATAATGATTGAAACGCTTTTTACTTGAAAACTAGGAGCTACCCATGGAAAAACACAAAAAAATAATAGAAGCTAGTATGTATAGATTTATCTGTTAATGGATTGTAGTTCACGATCGCTCAACCATTTATTAAACCATTAGTGTTTCTATTGAAAGACATCAAAAATCCAGACATATTCTATTGTTTTTATGTGAGCGGCATCGATTAGTTGAAATTCTAATCATATTAGAGTGTATCTCGGTAGAAATAACCAACAATTATCCCGAAAGAAGACAATACAATGCACTACTGTATGATGATATGTAACTCGTCTTTGTGTATGTTAGCTTGGATAAGAAATGAATGTCGACAAAATATTTACTGGATACTTTTTAGGTAGTATAAGCTATTGAACAAAATTTTATTTCTGAAATTTTGGCGTGATCGTAGTGACTGCTTTTAGGCACTTTGTGAAATGAGTTGTAATATTTTCTGTTGCATCCATTTGATCCCAGTAGTGCTAGTTGACTGTCCCTTGCACTTTTAAAATAATGAACCTCAACTTGGTGTCTAATAATGAAGTTTTCAAACGGATACAAAAAGCTTCGTTACATTCATCAGTGAAATATGTGGTGGGTTTAGAAATTCACTATATTCTTTTACATCAGATCGTAAGGTTAAACGATATATGAAAACAAAGTATTTTATTATTAACAGATAAGCTTACTTGCATAATTAACTCTGGTAAAATAAGTGGACTAAATAACAGAGCTATACATATAAAAGATGTTGGTGACATTACTTACCGGAAATCATCCAGGATATATCGAGATCCATCTTTACCATATGAAGCCAACACAATAGACGGGCTTGAATAAGCATTGGATGACACCCAAACACAATGTGAAACAAACAGATATAGAATGAATATAATCAAAACGTAGGCGACTGCACGCATATTACTCCCATTGTTTCCTGATGATTGTTGCTTTGACTGACTACCAATGGTGGTACTTGTTGGCGTGTCTTGACTAGGATAGTTCACCTAATAATATGAAAGGGTACATACACCGAGATGTGGTATACTTTTTTTAAAACACTAAACGCGCATTATTCATAACAAGAAAATTAGTACTCATTATGTCCATCACAAAAATACTTCACGCAGAATTAGAATAGTTTTTCTTAGAAATAACTTGATATTGAGGATGAGTACAGTACCCATAAAATATTAGTAACAGGTAGTACATGAGCCAACAATTAATGTTCTCAAATACAGCATGAGATTTGTAACACTCGCAGTTTATTTATTTTAACACATAGATATTGGTAAAAGGAGGCACCAAACACATATGCGCCACACAAATCTCATTCGATATGTGTGAGGGTTGTGATACTGCTCAGGTGCCCAAACCGAAGCAGGTGGTTTTCTTAGGGGGGCCACTCTCCGAGCCTTCGACCTGAAGGTCTGATCCACAAGGCAGTGGATCAGCGTAAGGAGATGCAATCATATGGAAGCCGGTGACCAACAATTGGTTCATACGCCATTTGTTCCCGCAGGATACTGGAGCCCATGTGTACCATTGGTTTGGAATCCGGTTAAGGCGCCGGACATTCGCTTTTCGACCTGTCATTTTTGTAAACAACACCCCTGTCACGAGAAGGCAGTGAGTAGGACTTCCCTGGTAGAGGCTATATACGCGTGACCATGTGAGAGCATTTGGAGAGGGAGAGCGGACTCTCCCCACTCCCGGCCATACCAGGGCGTTTGGGGGCATGTATTAGATATGTCTGTTCACCGCCTATTATGATGTGCTGGTTAACGTAAAAGTGGTCCGAGGAACAGTTAGAAAAATTAGACAGCATTCGCAAATGATGTCAACACTTATCACCTAAGCCCTGTGCGAAAGTGTAAGCTTTCTGGTTAAGAATCGTAAAGACCCCTAGTGAAATGATAGAGGAGCAGATGTATTCACTTTCTAACCTGCTTAAGTTTGGGCACCCGGGCAGTATCACAGCTCACACACAAATCAAGTGCCTTGTGTGGCGCACATGTATTCGATGCCCCTTTGTACCAATATTTATGTGTTTAAGTAAATGAATAATAAATAAAACTTGGTCTAGGGATTGCTGGTTTAAGTATCAATTTTGAAGGTTTAACTGTTTTATGTATACCATCTTACTGAAAACAAGAAGTCTTAGTATAAAACACTGTAAGATTACTGGTGGACATTGCCCGTATAAACGCCAAAACAAACCTAATGGTTAGGAAGACTTCTTTGAATATAAGACTCGATGATTATTTACTTTATTCCCAATAATTTTGATTGTCCTTTTTCTGTTTTATCTAGACTGGTTTATTGAACATGCCCATATATTTAAAAAATGAGCATATTCAATGAACCAGTCTAGATAAAACAGAAAAAGGACAATTAAATAGCCCCCAAACGTCCTAGTACGACCGAGAGTGGGAAAATTCAGCTCTCCCTCTCCAAATGCTCTCACATGGCCACATGCATACGACCACTGACAGGGATGTCCTACTCACTGTATTCTCATGGCGCGGGTATTGTTTACGAAATTGATAGGATGAAAAGCCAATGTCCGGCGCTTTAACCGGATTGGTGAATATAAAGGATCCACCTGGGGGAGTTAGAAAACCCTCATTCCAAACCAATAGTGAATATGGGCTCCGGGATCCTAAGGAAACAAATTACGTATGAACATATTATTGGTCACCGGCTACCATGTAACTACTTCTCCTAACGCCGCTCCACTGCATTGTGAATTAGACCTCCAGATCGAAGGCTCTAGGTGTGGCTCCCTAAGGAAACCACCTGTTTCGGTTTGGGCGCCCAGACAGTATCCAAGCCCTCACACAAATCGAATGATTTATGTGGCGCATATCTGTTTGGTAACTCTCTGTACCAATGTTTGTGTGTTTCAATAAATAAATAAAATTGTTTAAATAAATGGAAGTCAATAAAGATATGTATATTATTACACTGGAAATATTTTTATTGATTCCTTAAATTACCTTTTTATTTGCCTTGTTCGGTTTATCATACAAACGTTTATCAACAGAATTCTGTTCATTATTAGACTGATTTGTCGCAACATTAATTTCATTATCTTGTTCATTTAAGAATAATTCAAAGACACGTGAAAATGCAATAGCAGAAAACACACATACAATTGGTGTTAATGTAAGCATAAGACGAACCATAACACCAGCAAAATATGATGCAAATATTGCATAGAGAATAACAAAAACACGTTCATCATTTAAATTGTTAAAGCAAAGTCTAACACCAGCTGGAAATGTAGCAATTAATACATGAAGATCAAAAAAGAAAGATGCCCATGAAGTTGGTTGATGCTCAGAAACGGATGTTATAATTGGAATATGTATCTTAGCATAACCAGTATCCCAAAGAGAATAAAACCTGAATAATTTAAATAAGAATTAAAATCGATGATAATTTTTTTTGAGATTTTCTGTTTAAACTTAACAGCAGTTGAATAAATACTGAAAAACCAAATGTTACCAAACAATATTTCACTACAATTTATGACTATGGAAACCCCGAGTTACGAAATTTCATAAAGTCATGTTGGGTATTTTACAGCTCAGGAGCGTGTATATAATAAACCTACAAATATCCTGCCTAACGGTGTGGAAATTTAGTTCTCCATCAAAAAATCCCTTTACAATCCCATGCATTTATAGCTCGTGCAAAAGATGCCCTTCTTACTGCTTTCACGTTGAGACTTATTTGTAAGATGATAAATGTTACTACCTGCCACCCCTAAATTCCCTGGTACAACCAAGAGCGGAGAGAGTCAGCTCTCCCTCTCGAAATGCTCTCATATGGCCACGAGTATACAGTCACTGTCAGAGAAGTCCTTTACGCGTTGTGGGTGTTGTTTACGAATTTGAGAAGACGAAAAGTGAACGTCCAGAGCTTTAACCAGTTTAATGAATACGGAGGAACCACCTAGAGGAGTTGGAAAACCCTGATTCCAATGGTCCACATGGGCTCCAGGATCCTGAGGGAACAAATGCATTGTGAAGCTATTGTTGGTCACCGGCTACCATAAAACTGTATCGCATAACGTTGCTCCACTGCATTGTGGACTAGACATTAAGGTCAAAGACTCGGGGTGTGGCCCTCTAAAAAAACCGCCTGCTTTAGTTTGGTCACCCAGGTAGCATCCAAGCCCTCACACAAATCATATCTGTGTAGCGCATATCTGTTTGGTGCCTCCTTATACCAATGCTTATGTGTGTAAAGTCAGTCAGTCAGTAACAACGTATAACTGTACGTACGTACATCAGTTCGAGTAAAGAAAAATAATAATTTCTTTGTTATTACCTGCCACTCCATGGTGCAATAACGCCAGCATATGTTAGCCCAACTACAACAACAAATATAACTCCAGCAGAAAAAATGGCACCAAATGTAAATAATTGCTTCAGCGTATCAGAGGGAACACGGGTTTGTAGATATTTGAAAAAAGCAACAACCTGCAAATAAAGACAAGTTATTTTGACCATAATATTAGATATGATGATTAAAATTGCTTAACACATCATCACCATACTTGAGAATGTAGCGTCACTTCTAACCAACTAATAATATACCTCTGCATTGCTGTACACTTTATATATACAAGATAAACTTCAGGATTGGTATACATTGGGATCAGATACACCAACTACCTGAAAACATAAAACTGTGTTGTTTCTCAAGCCGAAATTCAGTGTTTATATATCTATATCTAGATCAAAACCAGAAAATAACCGCATATGATCAACAAATGCATCTGGGTTAGCAGGACGAAACAATTATATATTATTCACCAAGTATACGTTAAGATACTCGTCTTTGAGTCACACTGTGAGGAATAGAAGTACTACCTGGTTGCCCGAACCAAAGTAGACATTCGGAGTTTACAACTGAGACCTAGATGAAAATCAAGCGCAAAGCGTTAGACAAGAAAGACAGTCCATACAGTGGTTTTAATATGGATTAACTGAGACTGATAGGTTATTTATTTCAGATATTGGGCTGAAATTTGCCTTTAATTTTCATCGCTGACTTGAGTAGTAGTGAATTAGTAACCAGACAACTTTATAAATTTGAAAGCAGCATTTGACTCGGTAGACCGCGAGATTTTGTGATAGTGTCTGTCATTGAAAGGCGTACCTCAGAAGTACATATACCTTGTGAAGGCTCTTTACTCGAACACTACCAATCGAGTCAGAGCTTGTGGCGAACTGTCATCTGCTTTTGCAACCTCAAGTGGTGTCCGTAAAGGCTGCCCACTTTCTCCATTTTTGTTTAACTTCATCATAGACCTACTGATGGAAATAACATTCTCGTCTACTGAATTCTCGGGTATTGATCTCCTACTAGGAGGTTCACTTATCGACTTAGAATACGCGGACGACATAGTCCTGTTTGGTGAAGACGCTGATAGAATGCAGAGTCTTCTGGTAGCACTGAGTAACAATGCCAGAATGTTTGTAATGCGCTTCTCTCCCTCTAAATGCAAGTTGTTACTTCAGGACTGGTCTGCGTCAAAACCTGAACTAAGGATAGGGAGTGAAGTAATCGAACGCGTTGACAACTTCACTTATCTTGGAAGTCTGATAAGCCCTAATCGGTTAGTGTCTGACGAAATCTCAGCACGGATTCGAAAAGCTCGCTTGGCTTTTGCCAACTTACGTCACCTATGGCGAAGGCGAGATATCCGTCTATCAATAAAAGGACGAGTATACTGCGCGGCAGCTCGTTCTGTTTTTATTTACGGCTGCGAAACATGGCCATTAAGAGTAGAAAATACTCGTAAGCTACTAGTACTTGACCACAGATGCCTTAGAAATATTGCTGGCGTCTGCTGGGATCACCGGATAAGTAATAGTGAGGTTAGACGCAGGGTATTAGGGAATGATGGTAAATCAGTTGATGAGGTTGTTAATCTTCATCGACTGAGATGGTTGGGCCACGTGTTACGTATGCCTGAACACCGATTACCACGACGTGCAATGCTAACCGGTGTTCGGGATGGTTGGAAGTTAGGGGCGGCCAAACCAAAACGTGGCATCAGTGCTTGAAGTCAATAACTTCTAGTCTGAGCCATGTTGGTTGATGCAGACTACTTGGCTGGGGTCCGCGTGACAATCGCAACCAATGGTTGGAGACTCTTGGTGACATGGCTCAGAATCGATCACAATGGCGTCGGTGTATGCACTCTCTGTCTTCCCTCAGACTAAGAGATTAAATCACTTCATATCTTTCTTTCTACGAACTGATTCTTTCTTCGTGTATTATATCCTTATTGCAATCTTTCTTTTATATATTACCACCTCTGAATTAACTACTTTTATGAATCCGGTGTCCATCTTGTTGTGTTAATGAGGTACGGTAACTTGGATGCATATATGTGCCTGGTCCTACGTTGTAGCTGACTGACTGATAAATTTATAAAGCCACTGGATATTAATCTGGGTTATGTAAGATTTTTGGCTCCAGTTTCTGCCTGTAAATAGATTATGATTTTTGAAATGCATTTTCTTTTAATCTTAAAATCTACATTTTTCTGTCAAGTTACGTCTTTTTCATCTTGTTCTGATAAGTTTTAACTTCCGTTCTTCAGCGCAAGAGTTCACTAGCTTGAAAATATAAATATGTGGCGTTTCACTTGACGTTTAAGTAATAGTTATAGAAATTACTGAGTTTCCAAGATAACACCACGAGAGTAAAGTGGTTCTTATTATATTCAAACATACGTTGCTAGTCCTGAGGATCTGTTACGATTTTGCCATCGAATGTGAGCCAATATATGAACACAGTTATCGAGCCTTTAGTTCGAGTAGTGGAGTCACTGCAGATTGATTAAAGTACTACTTTCAACAACTAGTTTTCAGATTTATAACGTTATCCATTCTGGTTTCTGTAGCCTAACAGTACCATCACCCTCGACACAAAGTGTAGTTTAAGGCTGAATGCAGAAAGCTTGACCTATCTAGTGTTTCATTGCTTCCATTACTCAGCTTGAAGTTAAGTTTCATTAGACCGTGAAACAGCTTACAGTAAGGCATTATAAATCTACAACACTATATCTTACAACGACACCAAAGGTAAACTATATCCGCATGCTTCACTCTGATTTTCGCTTCATGAAGATTGAGCTTGTCTATTACAATCTTTTACACAACTACCCAGATGTGAACATCCCATCTACTTCAAACACCATATCAATAAGGGTGTGTATGTAGAAGTTCCTGGTAACCTGTCAGAGTACCCTACACTTAGGTCAAATAATACACCATACTGACGAACGGTGATTATATACTATTTGAGCAACTTTTAAGTCGTTGCACAGTAAAACGATATATACATCATACTCGAAACGGAAAACTTTGTCATGCAACAGATATCTACCATCATTCATTATCTTCAGATTTCTCTGGTACCATTGATCATAAAAGGTAGAACCGTCAAGTGACGTTGAGCTTAAGTACTATCTTAAAATATTACATTACTTGATGAGTCCGAGTGCTTATCAACCAATGTGGCCGGGATGCATTTGACATTCTTCATGTTTAGTTACCTTACAGCATTCAGATCTTTGTTTCCATCCTCCAACCTATTAATTTCTTCTTGTTGTGAAGTATGGAGAAGTGGGATGGTGATAATTTCAAAGAGCTATGACTAACCCGACTGTTGCTTTAAACCAATTGAGTTGAAATAAGAAATTAGATTATCGAATTCACATATGACGACTTTTAAACAACTGGTAAGGAATGAAAATATTTACGATCTAAACGAAATATGGTTAGCTTAATAATAGTCAGTTTGTTGCACGATCTGTAAAAACAGAGCATTACAAAGCCCAACCAGCTTGTTCTTGAATCAGCTAGTCGACTGTTGATAGTATCAAGAATTGATCATTTCCTACAACTAAAGTCTTGACCTTCAACCAAGTTTCCTGAATTAATTCAACAAAGGCGAATGGTATTATTACCAAGGTTTGACATGATAATTTCGAATAAATTGAGCACTGAGTAGATTGGTAATAATAGAAACAATAATGGATTTGTAAAATCCCAATGAGTAGACAATCGGATTTATGACTTTTCGAAGCTTGATGTAAGCTACTTCTTGAGAGAATGAAGAAATGAGTTAAATTAACAGAATCTTAAATAGTACGGAGGAAACAAAACAGAATATTTTAAGTGCGATCAAAACCAAAATAAATCAGATTATGTTAACGTTATGTCGTTTCACTCGAGGTAATTCTGTATAGGACCTACTTATGTTTATTTGTATGCTAGTGAGAGTGGAAAATGTGATATATATAATGTGGAAGAGTATGGTTAGGAATATTCCAATGTTTGTTAGTGGTGTGAGATTCGGACATAATTAAATGGGTGGATATTTGAATAAATCATGTTAGATGGATCGTCACCAATAGTCAGAAATTCACTTTTCTACTCATTGAGATTTTGCACATATACTATTATTTCTATTATTAGACGCAAGTAGGTTTTACACTTCCGTAAGTACTGAAACTAATTAGGTACTGGAATAAAACAACCACAAGAAACCTGATCCACGTAATATAGTGCCGTAATACCGTATGGTTACCAAGTTCGACTGTGATATAACGATCGTCTTGCTGAATAACGATACAAAGATTATCAAAATTACACTTAATCAACTTGGCTACTACTGTTTGCAACTACGCTATGCATTTTCTACTCTAGAAATTCCAATTACTTCTGCAAGATAGGAGTCTGTACCTCTGCTCTCCTTTTGTGGTGATTCGTGAGCCGAAAGGTTCGTGAATTCCAGTACTTATGTGTGTGAGTGTGGTGTGACAGATGACAGCTATGTACATATACTGAAATCCAGGGTGGTTTACGCAGATCTGAACTATATCCGACCCTGTCGTGAGTCAGGCCAAGTTTATAACGAGTTGGCAAGAGCAGTGTACAGCGCTTTAACCAGGTTGGTGGAATAGGAGGTCCACCTAGAGGAGTTTCAAAACCCTGATTCCAAGCAAATGGTGTACGTGGGCTCCAGAATCCCGAGGGAACAAGTGGCGTATGAACCTATTATTGGCCATCGGCTACCATGCGACTGCATCTCCTAACGTCGCTCCACTGCATTGTGAATTAGACCTTCAGATCGAAGGCTCTGGGTGTGGCCCCCTGAGGAAACCCCCTGTTTCGGTTTGGGCACCCGAGCAGTATCACAATTCACACACAAATTAAGTGGCTTGTGTGACGCATATATATTCGATGCTCTTTTATACCAATATGTGTTCAAATAAATAAACAAACAAAATTATGTTTAGGCTCAGTGAAGACAATTTAATAGGCATTACCGACTTGAAAAACCAGCCTTAGTGATTTAATCACGCTTTACCGACATCAGGTCAGTTGTTCTTACACTATGCACTATTTCCAGATATTGCGACTGGGTAAGAAAGATGGAAAAGTGGTCAGTCTGCGATGTAGCTCTATGGCATGGGAGATAGCTGCATAAAACTTTTATATGTCAATCCACCGCAATTCTCTAGTCGGGGTACTGAAGATAATGCAACTCTGTAGCTTGGAATGCTATTAAATATGGCTCAGAACAGAATCCAATGAAATTCTACTGTGGATTTATACTCTTCACAATGATGAAAAGAGCTTCCTTAATCGAAAGAAGTCTGTCTTGGCTGCAGTTTAAACCAAACTATACATTTCATTGTCAGATTTCCATCCTCTATATGATTTTCTAACATTCTTTTCACTTATGTGGTGCATGTTCTTTGCGGTGCCAAGTACCAAGGCGTATGTTTTCAAAAGATAAGTGATGCATTACACTACACCAACTAAGACTTTCATAGATGGAAAATCAGCCTGTAAACTCGGAATTCTTTTCTTTTGTCGATATGAGACACGACAACGCTGATCTAATATTTCATTAGAAACAAGGGTTGGTTTAACAAGTGTAGTTGAAATTTTTAAACAACCAAAATAGAACACTTTAGAATTATGTACTTACTTGAAGAAGTGCGAACACTCCTATTGATGCCATATGTTCACTAGTGCGTAGTGGTTGAAAACCAACAAATGGTATTTGCATCGACATTATTAAACCCAAGATGAAGAAGGTTGTGTAAGCCACGTATAGTTTCGCGCTATATCTCTGCATGATTAGAAGTACAAAAATGTGCAATGGAATGAGGTTTATAATGAACACATAACCACCCCAAGCAGATACCATGTAAAAATATGCAATAGCACAAAACGCGGCCCAAAGAACTTTTCCTGTTTTGACAGCTTTAATCCACAAGTAGTACGTAAACATTAGTGCGAAAATTGCGATTCCCTCATTATCATAACTGCCGGCGGTTGAACGACTTATATATCCGGGAGCTAATAAAAAGTGGAATAATTATATAAAACATCGATTACCGATGGCGATGAAGCAAGCAGCAAACAAACCCGCTCCTTCATTCCATATTTCCTTCGTGAAAAAATAAGTCGCAATAGCAGTCATGCCACTGAATACAGGGGCGAGGAAAACACAAACTTCACGAATGTGAACCGGAAAACTCAAAAGGTGACACATGTAGTGAATAAAACCTAAAGTTCGATGGTAAATCCCAATACTGAACAAACCTGAAGTAACCATTAAACCAGGATAGACAGTGCCTCCAACAATCCTCCCAAGCGGGTACCACGCAGTGCTGTCAAACCAATTGTAAAAGTTCTCGAAACTATTTTCGACCATCTGCTTGGTGGCTCGGTAATTAAACCAAGGATCAAACTCATGAATGACACTTTCAAAACGTATAACTGAGAAAAGACGTATAATAAATCCAACAACCCATGCCAGCAGCAGAATACAGAATGTTACAAGCCCCGTACGCCCGTTAGTTGAGACCGAAGAAAACCCACCAACAGCAAGACCAAGCATTGATGACGAACTCGTAAGTCGCGGGTTGACGCGAACCTTCAAGAGATGACACGTATGAGACAACTCATTTCTGCTCAAACCTCAATCCGCAGTTAACAAAATTTCCGAAACAAATATTTTCCCATTAATTGTAGATGATATTTAGATAGACATAACAAGCATACAAATTTTTTGTCTAGTTGTGATCGTACGAGGGGCCTGGAAGAACAAACAGTCGTGAATGGAATTACAAACCATCAAACTTTATAATGTACAGTAACACTGGCAACACGATAAGATAGAAACGACTGATTTGACCTATTCTATTGATTAGGTAGATGCAGTTAACTGAAAGTTAGTTGAGCTGATAATTTATACGCCTTTTAGTGGCAGATTAACTGATCGAACTGCTCACCACAGCACAAAGAGACCAATGGTTTCTACATGTGCTGTTCGTCACATGAAAACACATACATTCTTAATGTTGTCGGTTCAACAATGTAAATAGTTCACAAGAGCATTTATTTAGGATCCTTAATGATTGTCACTAAAGTATATTCACTCAGCCACTGTACTATACACGTTATGATGGGTAGTTACAAAACTCGTGATGCATAGGTGATCCATCTGAAAACATGCTGTTGGATGTAAAGAGATCTATAGATATTAAGCAAATATGTAAGGGGCTTTGGAATGAAGATAAGATAATCTTTCAGGGCACTGGAAAAAGAGACATCAACTGTCAGTTAAAAATCAGTCAGCCAATAGCTTCACAGCATCGCCCACGTCTTTTTTTGAATATCCGGAACCCATAAACAAGGTGTTAGCTCTGTGATATCTAAAAAACGTCACACCACAAAATCAGCATTTTGAGCGAGACACACGCCTTGGAAGCAGTTACCTGCCGATGAATTCCCTGAATTATTCCCTGTACGGCCTCGCTTACCTTTAGCAGGGCTATAATCAGAATAGCTCATTATTCATCTAGTCAGCAATCATAATCTGGTTGTAAATTGTAAATTTATACAGTTATTGCGAAAATGATAAACAAACACATATTGAATAAAAGCTGGGACACAACAAAATGAATCACTGACGAGAGTTAGTGATCCGTATACAACTGGTGCAATTTCACTATCGGTAGTTCGATAAAAAGGATCGATTTAATAAACGGTCTGGGATCAACTGAGTTTTAAGTGACTAACGTCTGACTTAAATATTATTATTTGGTTTTTTCCCTCATATATTAAGGTTAACAATATGAGTCAATTAGCATAGGTGGGCATCAGCACTTCGATGAGTCTTGGTACTAATACGTCTAACATGTCTTTCTATCCGTTACTATAACTTATTACACTTCAACTGTGACACCAGTGAGAATGAGCGGATCGCGAGTAAGCACTTTAAGATTAGTTTATGTACAGAAAACACGGGTATTTATAGATCTAACTTGGGTTTTGGAAATTCCTGGAACCAGGTTTCTGCAAAGCTTCTATTCAGCAATGATCTGATAAAATATTCTGTAACTTTCTCAAGATTTTGAAGACTATGTCAAAAGACATTTTGAACACCTTCAACATGCTTGTCTTCCCTCAGTGTATTTGTGCAAAAGTTTCTATTTGTTATAGTACCAATATGCGGCACCACCGCTGATTCCTCAAAAAGGTATTGTCACGACTGAAATTTCAGCATTTTTTCTGAACGTAGACCTAATGATTTATAGTTTGTACAATCAGACTGGACTACTTCCTTTTGTATAGTATATAAAGCTCTTTTTGAGTCACTTGTAAGAAGAGATCAAAACACAGACGTGTTACTACCGCACTCAAGGTAATGAGTAATTATCACTTTCCACCTTTATGGTACCGGTGAACGTCACAGACACTGACCTCAGTCGACCCACGTTTTTCAAATCTATGACTCAAACGAGCTTTGTAGGTCCTAATAATGATAATATATTTCTGCATGGGCAGGTACACGCCATTTTTACAGGCATCATCTACAAATTACAACATTTGTTGGCGCACAGCATGCTTCCCAACTTGTTAAGTGTATAGTTGTCATAAAGTAAACTCGTAGAGCGCTTGCTGTAGCTCATGACCTTGAGGAGACGCGTACGTCAAGTTTGTTCCAGACTTCAGAAGTTCCACAGCTGTGCTTTCAGAGCAAGATGCTGAAGAAGGAAAAGAGAGAAACAGAAGAGCAGCAAGGCACTCCGATATGAACGCGGATGATGATCAGATCCTTTTAAGCTAAAAGCGGTCATGTAACGCTTTAAAAACATTCTGTTGTTATTGTCTCGAAGGCTGCAATGGAGATCTGATTAGTCCTTTAGTTTGGTGATAACTAGAGAGTTATCACGAACCTTGATCCGCCCTGACTCTAAAACATGAACTCGCCGTTTTATTCTGAATAATCACTTTTCTTCTGTCTTAAGGAATGCAAAACGCCTAAGTAGACAAACAGTAAGGGAAAAGAGAAGATGTATAACCTGTTCAAGCACGACCAAGGGACGAAGCTTGTGAAAGTAAAAACCAACTGCAAACCATATGTTGACGGATTCTCTTTTTCTCGTATTTAGTGGACTGAAAAATGGTTGCTTGTGCGCAGGTTTTTAACGCACAAGATATATTGTTCCCAACAAAAATTCTCGGAAAAGTACATATACCTGATTGGAAATCAGTCATTCAGCTCACTGTTGGTGTAGCGAAGCCAAATGCTCAAGTGGCACATTGACTGAGGTATGATGCTCCGAAAAATCATGACAAAAACAAAGAAAACCGAAGAAATTACAAGTGAACCCAAAAAATAAAACTCAAACGTTTTCCACCACGACACTTTAGTCTGATTTGTCCGTTGACTAACCCTGTTGCATGTGGCCTACCAATGGACGAACATTATTACTCTATTATACTGAAATGACTCGCGATTTTTGTTCATTTCGATAAGACACGCAATACTGGCCGGCATGTTGGTAAGTTTCGTTAAAAGACTACAATTCCTTTAGTTACTGTACTAATCTAATTGTGTTTACGTTTAGAAACAGATAAAGTCTAAAGCCAAGTTGTCCTTGCTCTGGCTATAGCTTTTACATGGACTATGTGGTCGCCAGTATCGCGTTTACAGTTCTAGTAGAATATCTGTAGGACAAATTAAATCCTACAATATGAATCAATATTTTAGGTCATAAGTCAGTAAACTAGAAGTGTTTCCATTATTGATTTCGGCCAGTGCTTTAATGTGGTTGCAACAACCCTATTGAATAGCCTTCGTAATAGCTGGATAACTATCCACAATACATTTTTCTCCGTTGCTACGTTTGATTACTTAAAAGAGTATAATGTGTGACATTTATGGTGAGACAAAATACATAAATACGAAAATAATAACAATGCTTGTGAAGGTGTAGGTAAATATAATGAGTTCATCATTGAGGACAAAGTGTGAAAAATTTCACAGAATGATACTTGTTAGCGGTAAAGTTCTGGATGTCTGTAAGGCTCAGAATAATTCCACAAGTTAGAGTATAAGGAAATTCAGGACCATATTACCTATTCACTTGAATCTTGTGATAGTGACTCGAACCAAATTATCCATGAGTTATCAGAAAAAGTATGTGCATCGTGTAAGTTAGGGACTTAGTAGATCAGCGAAAAGATTTCAAGGAAGAAGCACGTACATTTCTTCGAACCACAGTCGGTACGACATGCATATTTATATAAGAAAGTTAACTCTCCGAACGATGTTTCACAGTCATGATGCGAGCAGTATGAACTGAAAGACAGGAATATCAACAAGAGTTGTTCAGAAATTAGGTTTAAATAACTTATCTTGACATAGTTTCTTTCTTGAGTGTTCGGAGGGAACACTGACCGCAAAAGAAGGAAAAAACAAACAACGTGAAATAACTATTACATTTCACGAAAGCTAGCAAAAAAAGACAAATGTGTAAAATGGGTTATTACTGCACAGAGATACTGTCCACACATGTCTGAAAATGAGGTGAAAGGAAAACATGATAACACTCATTTAAAAATAGAACATGAATAGTGTTCTTGTTTTCAGATTTACATGCAGCCTACCAATGTAGGTGATTTACGTTTATGGTCGCAATGTAACTGAATTAAATGAGAATGGTGTGATGTGATATTCATACGAATTGATGAGTTCCTTGTGCTTCTTTCCGTAATTAATTTGAATTCCATATATAATATCTTCATCTGTAACCATATAGTTGTATTCGTACAAAATTGTATCATTTTCATTATTTTTAGTTAGCTCATCGATTCGGTTTCTAATTATCATTTTGGCGTCAGATGAAGAGAGAATCTTGAACAGTTGGATGTTGTTTCAAGTGTCGGTGTTTCAGAAGACTAAAGTGAGTGGTTTGGAATCTAGTGCACAACTTGAAAAGGTTTTAGGGAGGACAAGTTTTGAACTTTTCAACTTTCCCAGAGAGACCAATTTCACTGCCATATGAATCTTTCGTTGAATTACTACTTTGTCATGTACAGCTTGCTGTTGTGACGGACGGTGTCCAAAATCTTATACTGGTACATGATGTACTACGAGAGAGATTGAATAAAGTGCACAGATACTCATAAATATATATCCAACTGTCTTCTAGGAAATTAATGCATTTCTTAGTCAATAAAATACACGTGTCCTTTGATCACTTCTGATTATCATCGGTTGACATTCTTATTAAACTACTTTTGGTTGGTTTAACATATCACTTTTCCCCCCGAAAAATACGTCTTACTCCTTGGATTTAACTGAAGGCACTTTGGAAAACGTCATCTTCTTGATGGCCTTCTTGAGGCCTGGCTATCAGTTCTCAAGGGCTGATATTGTCACATCCAGACTGACCGCTTCAGTTGATCAATTTAGTGGCAAGTTTGAGCTAGGGAGTTCTTTATTCGAATTTGTTTGTGTATCGCGTATGGTGTTTACATGTCGCATCTAGCACTTATGTCGAACGTCACCTTTATCCATCATTTCATCTGCTCTTCTTACGATGATGCTATCCATTCA